ATCGATGTCGGAAATGCGAAACCGATCGCACTGCGAACCCGGAAAGTGCCCACGTGATTTCGAGAAAACGTCGCAGACCTGATAAAGGTCTCCTGGCAGCCGAGATCATCCGACCCTCGACATCACCATGGGCCTCACCGATCGTGATTGTTCACAAGAGTAACGGTGTGGATATCAGGTTGTGCATTGACTACAAGTTGGTAAACGGCCTCACGAGGCTGATGGTATACCATATGCCCCTGCTCATCGATCTGCTGGAGGACCTGGATAATGCGTTATCGTATTGCTCGCTGGATATGGCCAGCGGCTTTTTGGGTCGTGCCCATGACAGACCGGGCTCGCGACATCTCAGCATTTATCACCCCGTTTGGATTATTCGAATGGAGTCGCATGCCTTTTGGCCTAAAGAACGCTCCGTAGATTTATCAACGCCTCGTAGACAACGCGTTGTATGGATTTTTGAAGATCTCCCGGAGCTACGACGGATGTATTCCAGACAGGGATCGTGAACGATCTTGATCGCTGGTCAGTGTTGGGGCAGAGATCATACATCGACGATATCATGATCGCAGCAGAATCGTGGGATCAAATGTGCCGAAGAGTAGAGGATCTGTTGGAAGCTTGTGATAAGTGGAATTTATCGATCATTGTGACAAAGAGTTTCTGGGGCGTGGATAACGTAGGATATCTGGGGCACCGAGTGTCGATCGGAGGGTTGGAGGCGAGTCCGAAGGTTCTGAAATCGTTGACCGATCTGCCGTTCCCCGGATCACTGCGATCTATGCAGTCATTCCAGGGCAGTTTGAATTACTACAGCCGATTCATCGAAGATTACGCTATCTATGCCTCGGTACTCTACGAATTACGTGAAGTGGAGTTTGCAGAACTGGAGAAACGATCGGATCTGAGGCGGATCTTGGACCGGAATGACCCGATCTCTCGAGATCACGACCCGTCGGAAGTGAAGTTGACGGGACCAGTGGACGAGAGGTGGATCAGGACACATAGGGCCTTTATCGCCTCGAAAACCAAGATCGCGACGACCCCGGTCCTCCGCCACTTCGACGAGTCGAGAACGCCGGTAGTTATCGTATATGCTATTGATTGGGCGATATCCGCTTCGTTGACGCAAGAGCACGACGGGATCTATCATCCGGTGGCGTTCGCCAGTCGCACCTTGAAGATGAACGAGTTGAATTACAATGTGATCGAAAAGAAGGTGTTGGCATTGCTGAGGATCATGGATCTCAATTACAATATGCTAATAGGACGCGAGATCCGGGTCCTGATGAGGCATTCTACGTTATCCTGGCTGTTCAAGTCGACGGGATTACAGGGTCGCCTGGGACAATGGTCTGCCCTCCTGGCCCCATGGACACTCGAGATCACGAAGTGCACGAAGGGTGAGGATGAGATACTGGGGGCGATCGCTGCTAGCATCACACCGAGGGTGAAGCTGGACGAAGCTCTTGCCGAAACGCTCCCCGGAAAGAGCCTAAACGCCGGATCCAAGCGCCGATACCCACCGTAGAT